GGGGCGGGGCGGGGGCAGGCGCGGAATGGGGAGGAAGGGAGTTAAAATAGTCCTTCACTCAAGAAATCCAGTTCCGCAGAATAGAGAGCCCAGAAATGGACCCTCAACTCTATGGTCAACTCATCTTTGACAAAGCAGGAAAGAATGTCCAATGGAACAAAGACAGTCTCTTCAACAAATGGTGTTGGGAAAATTGGATAGCCACATGCAGAAGAATGAAACTGGACCATTTCCTTACACCACACACAAAAATAGACTCCAAATGGTTGAAAGACCTCAATGTGAGACAGGAGTCCATCCAAATCCTAAAGGAGAACACAGGCAGCAACCTCTTTGACCTCAGCCAAAGCAACTTCTTCCTAGAAACATCGCCAAAGGCAAGGGAAGCAAAGGCAAAAATGAACTCTTGGGACTTCATCAAGATAAAAAGCTTTTGCAAAGCAAAGGAAACAGTCCACAAAACCAAAAGACAACCGACAGAATGGGAGAAGATATTTGCAAATGACATATCAGATAAAGGGCTCGTATCCAAAATCTATAAAGAACTCATCCAACTCAACACCCAAAGAACAAAGAATCCAATCAAGAAATGGGCAGAAGACATGAACAGACATTTTTCCAAAGAAGACATCCAAATGGCCAACAGACACATGAAAAAGTGCTCAATATCGCTCAGCATCAGGGAAATCCAAATCAAAACCTCAATGAGGGCGCCTGGGTGGCTCAGTTGGTTAAGCGACCGCCTTCGGCTCGGGTCATGATCCTGGAGTCCCAGGATCGAGTCCCGCATCGGGCTCCCTGCTCAGCGGGGAGTCTGCTTCTCCCTCTGATCCTCCTGACCCTCCCCCCTCTCATGCTCTCTTTCTGTCTCTCTCTCTCTCTCTCAAATAAATAAATAAAATCTTAAAAAAAAAAAAAAAACCTCAATGAGATACCACCTCACACCAGTCAGAATGGCTAAAAGTAACAAGTCAGGAAATGACAGATGTTGGCGGGGATGCGGAGAAAGGGGAACCCTCCTACACTGTTGGTGGGAATGCAAGCTGGTGCAGCCACTCTGGAAAACTGTATGGAGATTCCTCAAAAAGTTGAAACTAGAGCTGCCGTATGATCCAGCAATTGCACTACTGGGTATTTACCCCAAAGATACAAAAATAGGGATCCGAAGGGGTACGTGCACCCCGATGTTTATAGCAGCAATATCCACGATAGCCAAACTGTGGAAAGAGCCAAGATGTCCATCGACAGATGAATGGATAAAGAAGATGTGGTATATATATACATACAATGGAATATCATGCAACCATCAAAAGGAATGAGATCTTGCCATTGGCAACGACGTGGATGGAACTGGAGGGTATTATGTTGAGCGAAATAAGTCAAACAGAGAAAGACATGTATCCTATGATCTCACGGATAGGAGGAATTCTTAATCGCAGGAAACAAGCTGAGGGTTGCTGGAGTGGGGGGTGGGGTGGGAGGGATGGGGTGACTGGGTGATAGACACTGGGGAGGGTAGGTGCTCTGGCAAGCGCTGTGAATTGTGCAAGACTGTTGAATCTCAGATCTGTACCTCTGAAACAAATAATGCAATCTATGTTAAGAAAAAAAAAAAAAGAGGGCGCCTGGGTGGCTCAGTTGGTTAAGCGACTGCCTTCGGCTCAGGTCATGATCCCGGAGTCCCGGGATCGAGTCCCGCATCGGGCTCCCTGCTCGGCAGGAAGCCTGCTTCTCCCTCTCCCACTCCCCCTGCTTGTGTTCCCTCTCTCGCTGTGTCTCCCTCTGTCAAATAAATCAATAAAATCGTAAAAATATATATCTTTAAAGAAATCCAGTTCCGGGACATCCGTGCCGTCCAACACTAGTACGGGGTGGGCGGGGGAGGTGCTCTAGAAGAGTTAAATATTGATGATGATGATGATGATGATGGAGAAGAAGAAGAAGGAGGAGGAGGAGGAGGAGGAGGAGGAGGAGGAGGAGGAGGAGGAGGAGGAGGAGGAGGAGGGGAACTGTTCCATGCTATTAAGGGTAAAACAAAAACAAGGCGTAGAACTTCCTCTGGCTCGTAAAGGGGGAAAAAAAAAATGGTTTGGGTTTTGTTTTTTGTTTTTTCTTTCTTCCTGTTTCAACTAAGCGCATTTCAGGGCACCTGACTGGCTCCGGTCGGAGGAGGCCCACGCGACTGCGACTCTTGATCTGCAGGGGTCGTGAGTTCCAGCACCATGCTGGATGATCACTCAAAAAGCTTTCAAAAACAAACACGCAAACAACCGACACCGAGCAGCATTAACCATCAAAGATACACACCTGTGACGAATACGACGTCAGAGGAAACCACGAGCAGCAGTAGCAGAGGATAGGACACTAGAGGGCAACAGAGCCCCATCCATAGGTGCTAGGGGCACTTGAACGCTTTCTGTGTCCACTAGGGACCTCGAAAAAACTTCACTCCCCTATCCAGGGAGGAGAGGGGAGAAGCAACCTCCAGCAAGAATTCCTTTGATTATCTTAATCGCAGGAAACAAACTGAGTGTTGTTGGAGTGGGGGGTGGGGTGGGAGGGATGGGGTGACTGGGTGATGGACACTGGGGAGGGTGTGTGCTCTGGTAAGCGCTGTGAATTGTGCAAGACTGTTGAATCTCAGATCTGTACCTCTGAAACAAATAATAATGCAATCTATGTTAAGAAAAAAAAAAGAAGAAGAAGAAGAAGGAGGAGGAGGAGGAGGAGGAGGAGGAGGAGGAGGTAGCAGGAGGGGAAGAATGAAGCGGGGGGAAATCAGAGGGGTAGACGAACCATGAGAGACGATGGACTCTGAACAACAAACTGAGGGTTCTAGAGGGGAGGGGGGTGGGAGGATGGGTTAGCCTGGTGGTGGGTATTGAGGAGGGCCCATTCTGCATGGAGCAGTGGGTGTTGTGCACAAACAATGAATCATGGAACACTTCATCTAAAACTAATGATGTAATGTATGGGGATTAACATAAGAATAAAATAAAAGAAAAAAAAAAGAATTCCTTTGATTAAAGGTAACTCTTACTACATTGAACTTCACCATTTCGGGGCACCTGGGGGGTGGCTCAGTCGTTAAGCGTCCGCCTTCGGCTCAGGTGACGAGCCCAGGGCCCTGGGATCGAGCCCCACATCGGGCTCCCTGCTCCGCGGGAGGCCTGCTTCTCCCTCTCCCACTCCCCCTGCCTGTGTTCTCTCTCTCGCTGTCTCTCTCTGTCAAATAAATAAATAAAATCTTTAAAAAGTAAATAAATAAATAAATAAATAAATAAATAAAATAAACTTCACCATTTCAACATGGACCTTTAATGGTTTCCTTCCCAACCAAGCCTTTCTCCTTGCCTCCTCCTTACCCGCGTGAATCCCTGATCCCACTTCACAACATCCCCCCCCCCCCCACACACACACCAGGCTGAAAACTGTTCTCTCTAAACCATAAATCCTGAGCATCAGGAAAGTACACGAGGAAACACAGACGAGAGAGAGAGAGAGAGAGAGAGAGAGAGAGAGAGAGAGAGAGAGAGAGACCAAGCAAATAATGTGGCTCTGAAGGCTGGACATCGATCGAGTTGAGAGAAAGGACCAGACATCACAAACTCGAAAAGAAGGTTTTCCTTTAAAGCTGATCTCTTCCTGAGTTGGCTAAACTACGTTCTTTACTGGTACGGCCTCCACTCAAGAGTGCGACGATCAAAAGAAGGTTTCGCAGTAAACACTTCACGGGTGCATCTATTAAAAAAAAAAAAGAAAAGAAAAGAAAAAAAAGGGCGCCTGGGTGGCTCAGTTGGTTAAGCGACTGCCTTCGGCTCAGGTCATGATCCCGGAGTCCCGGGATCGAGTCCCGCATCGGGCTCCCTGCTCGGCAGGGAGTCTGCTTCTCCCTCTGACCCTTCCCCCCTCTCATGTGCTCTCTGTCTCTCTCATTCTCTCTGTCTCAAATAAATAAATAAAATCTTTAAAAAAAAAAGTTCACGGGTGCAGGCTTCACATTGGTTTTTCAAGTACACGTATTTCAGGGCACCTGGCTGGCTCGGTCGGAGGAGGCCCACGCGACCGCGACTCTTGATCGGCGGGCGTCGTGAGTTCCAGCACCGCACTGGATGGGTGTACAGATTACATACACAAGCAGACAGGCAAAAGGAATTAGAATCGCTATGGTGATTTCGAAGAAAACAAAACAAAACTCAGGAAACAAAGTCGTCCTCTCCGGGCCCGTTTCATGCTTATGTATAGAGGCGATAGAGACCCTGTGATGTTGGCAGACAAAAGAGACAGGTCGGTGGATGGAACGCCACAGATACCCAAACAGATAGGCCCAAGCCCGACAGAAGTTTGACAAATGCGCAAAGGCCATTGGAAGGAGGAAAGACGGCCCACCTCCCCACGAAATCAGAGGGCAGGCATCAGACATCCACAGACCCAACACGCAGGCAAGCAGGCAGACAAAGAAACAAGAAAGCTGGGGCGCCTGGCTGGCTCAATCCGTGAACCGTCCGCCTGCCTTCGGCTCAGGCCCTGAGCTCAGGGTCCGGGGATCCAGCCCCACATCGGGCTCCCTGCTCGGCGGAGACTCTGCTTCTCTCTCTCTCAATCTCTCTCTCTCTCTCTCTCTCTCTCTCTCCCTCCCTCCCCCCTCCCTCCCCCCCCCCCCTCCTCTCAAATAAATAAAAGTCTTTTAAAAAGAATAATTAAAAAAAAAAAAAAAAAGGAAGAAAAGAACGTCACTCACTCCCCTTCCGGCATAGGGAGGACATCTTCGGGGGGGGGCGGGGGATGGGGGGGATGCCTCTCGGGAGAAAAGGGGGAGATTCAGCGAGTCAGCGCACCCTCCTTGCACCTGTGTGTGTGTGGGGGGGGGGTGGTTTGTGTGTTTCCTTGCCGCTGCTCGTTTTTTACAAGTGTATATAGAGTTCAAAACAGTATGCTGGTTTCCTTTATATCTAAGTCTTATCTCGGGTTTGGGTTCTGATGGGAGGAGGGAGGGCCACCTTTTCTTCCGACATGGTGGAGAAGGAGAAGAGGGATGCAGGCCTGTGCATATTCTTTTCCGTCGTGGGGTGAGCAGAGGACTCGGATTCAGCTCTTGCTGGATGGGATCTAATTTCTCTGTAAACAATCAGGCAAGATATCAGGCGAACAGAGGGCGAGCAAAGGTTAGCAGAACATGGACAAGATTGGCTATGGGTGCTGGAGTTTCCAAAGCAAGGATTTCATCAGAGGCACGTGAATGTCAAAGATTTCCAGGGACCATGTTCATGGATGACTTGGGGTATAGGTCATTTCAAAGTTACGGTGCTACCACCCGGTCACTTGAGCATACTGTCTCCAGCTCACGGCTGCAGATGCGATATGGGGCTCCTCCAGGGATGGAATTGTGCCAGAGAAAGGGAGACAGCAGCCTGTAATTGAGCCTAAGGTGTGTCTGAGAGAGTGACTCTCTAAAGTGCCTTGAGGCAGAAGGAGACCAGCTAGATTTGTCTTTGCTAGGTATTTGTGGCAATGGGGTCGGTGTGGCTGGTGGGTGTTGTCTGTTTATTTTCTAGATTCAGAGAAAGAACTCTTCAAGTGGAAGTATTTGCACAAGGGGTCTGGCAGGATGGGAGGGTGCAGGGGTCGGTCCATTTAACAAGATAACAGGAGGATCAGGCCTTTTAAGAACTAGGCAAAGAGAGGAGTTTAGCTTTGGTCATCACAGCACCTGGCACCTCAGCAGAAACAACAGAAGGTTCCCAGGATGAATTGAGTTGCAGGAGTCAGCGTGAGCAGACCCCACCACCCTCAGCCCTTATCCCTCAGCGCCCCCCCCCCCCGCCCCCCAGGCACACACACCCGGGCAGGCAGCGGCTATAGTCCACTCCGAGCTCCAGATCTGGGTCCCGCCCCCCCACCCCCACCCCCACCCCCACCCCCACCCCCACAGGGCTCCCCTGTCCTCTTCTCAGCCAGAGATGTATATGGGAGGGTGGTCCCAGAACAAATCTCCCCTCATCCACGGAAACCTTGCCAACACTTCGACCACTTTGCCTGAGCTACCAACTCATCTGTACCCGTGCGTGATTTTTTCCCTATGGACCAGGGGCCTAGTTACCAACTTAGGATGGACAGCCCCCCCCCCCCCCCCAGCCTACTGTTCCAATTCGACCAGAGGACTTCAGTTGGGGGGGGATGGGGGGGCTGGGGCTGGGGCTGGGGCGGCTGATGGGACGTTCAGGGTGATCCATTCTAATGGGCCTCATTCAATCGCTTCATTCAAATGCAGAAAGCTTTCTGTTAAAGTCAGAGCCTGGAGCTTCCCTCCATTCAATGGCTTTCCTCAACTCCCCCTAACCCTTAGGCTGCAGCTTGCAAACTTCGGAGAGAGATGAGGGAGGGAGGGAGGGAGGGAGGGAGGGAAGGGAGGGAGGGAGGGAGGGAGGGAGGGAAGGGAGGGAGGGAGGAGGGGAAGGGGAAAGAGGGTGTCTGAAGAGCTCACCTCATCTGGGGGCAAAAAGAGTCCCCTCCTTTTCCTAACCCACGAAACTCCAGTAAACCCTTTGGGAATCATGAATGTGGGGGATGATGTCTTACTATACTGCCTTCCAGGGATGGGTGTGCAGGTAGGAGGGTGTGGCATGGTGTGGCTGGCTGAGTCTGAGGAGGACCTTGAACACATGATGGTGGTATCTTAGCGGTCAGAGGCCAAACACAAGCATGGAGTGATAAGGGCTAAGGGCTAAGGGCTAAGGGAGGCCTGACAGGGACCGTTCTAACTCATCCACCGAGTTATGGGCCCAGCAAGCACACTCCTCTAAATCAACATTAACAGTTTATTGATTGTTGGGGCACCTGGGTGGCTCAGTCATTAAGCATGTGCCTTCGGCTCAGGTCATGATCCCAGGGTCCTGGGATCGAGCTCCGCATCGGGCTCCCTGCTCCGCGGGAAGCCCGCTTCTCCCTCTCCCACTCCCCCTGCTTGTGTTCCCTCTCTCGCTGTGTCTCTCTCTGTCAAATAAATAAATAAATACAATCTTAAAAAAAAAAAAAACAAAACAGTTTATTGATTATCCATCGACCTGTCCTCCCTCTCCCACCTGCTTCCCAAGGGAAATCCTCGGTCTCATTCCACGTAGTCACTGGCTGTTTTCGCACACCACCTTCCTGTCCAGTAAGAGGAGGAAGGAAGATGGACAAACAGGAACCAGCCCCACAGATGGCACCTCTGCACAGAGGGGTGAGTGTGAGTCTCATTGGGCCAACTGTGACTCTGAGCCATGATCCCAGGGTTGTTTAAAATATGGAACAGAAGGAGCACCTGGGTGGCTCAGTCAGAACAGCACATGACTCTTGATCTCAGTCAGGGTCCTGAGTTCAAGCCCTACACTGGGACTACAGATGATGAAAAATGAATGAATGAATGAATGAATGAATGAATGAATGAATGAATGAATTTTTAAAAATAAAGTATGTAATGTTTATCTCTTTAAAAAAAAAAAATGGAATGGAGGGGCGCCTGGGTGGCTGCCGGTTGAGCATCTGCCTTCAGCTCAGGTCATAATCTCAGGGTGCTGGGATCGAGCCCCACCCCTCTGGGGCTCCCTGCTCAATGGGGAGTCTTCTCCCTCTCCCTCTGCCCCTCCACCCACCCATGCGTGCAAGCTCTCTGTCTCTCTGTCTCTCTGTCTCTCTGTCTCTCTGTCTCTCTCTCTCTGTGTGTGTTTCTCTCTCTGTCTCTGTCTCTCTCTGTGTGTCTCTCTCTCTGAAATAAATAAATAAAAACAAACAATCAAACTTCAAAAAGGAAAAGGGCAGGGACATTTATGATTATTCATGGCGAAAGTTGGAGCACGTATATTCAGGAAACATATGTACCATAGATTCCCATGTTTACTTCGGGGTGGAGACCTGACATCTGAATGAGGCAAAACTGAGTCCCTGATGTCAGGAGGTTATCTGAGGACAAGGAGAAGAGGCTGTGGGCATGCTCTGAGAGCTGGTACAACCTGGATGGGGTCTTAGGCTCCTTTTCTCAGGTAAGGAATCAGGACCTCGCTTCTTCATAGGCTGCAGCCATTATCAGTTGACCTTGAGTCCAGACTTCTGCAGAGACAGCCAGTATTTGGTAGCAGGGCCTGAAAAGACACAATAGCTGACTAGGGGGAAACAGTTCCCTGAAAAACCAGCTTTAAGCTTTCTGCTAGCATCAACCTCATTAACCTTATGGGGCACGGTTTCAATCCCCACCCCCACCCCACCCCCACCCCCACCCCCACCCCCACCCCCACCCCCACCCCCACCAAGTGAGGATCATTCCTCAGTCTTAGGGAATTGGGATGATGATGGCTGTGGCTATTCTTTCATCTCCTCAGGGGAGGTAGGTTTTGGGTAAACGACAGTTTCTGTAAATCTTAGCTGTAACATGGCTATGTTCAGGGCTAAACAGAAGTTTTTAACCTACAGGTTAAAAGGGAATAAAAATAACAGGGAGTCAGACATGCTACATTTTTCCCTGTTAAAATTTCCCCTTGTCCATCCTGCATTCCATTTCTATGACACATGGGCAGAGGTCTGCCTTCTTTATTTAACTGCTTCAAGCTGAATTAGGGTGCAGTAGAGGCTTTGGAATGGAAGGATCTGAGACACTGCAGGTCGCAATTTTTGGTCCCTTGTGCTAATGGAGGGGGTCTCAGAGATAGTTCCTTATCTGAGAACTTGGTTATTTTTCTACATGGTTTGGGACTACATGACACCATTGATTTTATCCCCAAGTGTAGTCTAAGGAATAGTAACAGTAGAGTCAAACCCAATTCTCTCATTCTCTCTCAAATTGATCTGATATCGGTGGGTATCCAAGAATACAGATCAGTAAATTAGTCTGAGCCCCTCCCCTGGGGGGGGGGCGGTAGGTTGTGGTGGTGAAGGGCTTCTGGTAGCCAAGTAGCTTAGTGTTTGATTTTATTTACATGGGTTCTTTTTTATTTTTTTTTTTCTTTAAAGATTTCTATTAAGTAATCTCTACACTCAATGTGGGGCTCGAACTCACAACCCCGAGATCTAGAGTCGTATGTTCTACCAGCTGAGCCAGCCAGGTGCCCCTATTTATATGGGTTCTTATTTTCCAAAGAGGAGTTAATACAGGTGCAGCAAGGTGGAATTAAGGATCATAGACTCTGCCTCATTCAGCAAGTGATCTTGTAGTTAATAAGAGGCATTTCTATGGAAACAAAAGGAAAACATGGTTAATGGTTGGAACAAGGGATACACCTGGTGTCTAAGTCCAGAGGGCTGCCAGTGAGAAGGTCTCTAGATGTCAGGCTTGAAGCATCCTCCAATAGAGTGGGAGTGGGCAGGGGCAATCTGACTAATTTTTCTGGCGTATAGTTCAAATGTCTCATTTTGAGTGACTCATAGAGCAACAGGCACAAAGATTGTCTATATATGAGTTATTGTGGTCATTTCCCTGAAATTTATTTCAAGTTGTCCAGCTTTCATTTGCCAGACTTCAGGAAAAAGGACAGTTTTAGTTCTTAATGATTGTAAGATAAGAGAATGGGAGAATGTTCTGAAACAAATAATGCAATATATGTTAAGGGGAAAAAAAGAAGAAGAAGAAGAAGGAGGAGGAGGAGGAGGAGAAAAGGAGGAGGAGAAAAGAAGAAGGAGAAGAAAAGAAGAAGACGAAAAGAAGAAGAAGAAGAAAAGAAGAAGGAGAAGAAAAGAAGAAGAAGAAAAGAAGAAGAAGAAGAAGAAGAAGAAGAAGAAGAAGGAGAGAAGAAGAAGAAGAAAAGAAGAAGAAGAAGAAGAAGAAGAAGAAGAAGAAGAAGGAGAGAAGAAGAAGAAGAAGGAGAGAAGAAGAAGAAGAAGAAGAAGAAGAAGAAGAAGAAGAAGAAGGAGAAGAAGAAGAAGAAGGAGAAAAGAAGAAGAAGAAGAAGAAGAGGAGGAGGAGGAGGAAGAAGGAGGAGGAGGAGGAGGAGGTAGCGGGAGGGGACGAATGAAGCGGGGGGGAAATCGGAGGGGCGGACGAACCATGAGAGACGATGGACTCTGAACAACAAACTGAGGGTTCTAGAGGGGAGGGGGGTGGGAGGATGGGTTAGCCTGGTGGTGGGTATTGAGGAGGGCCCATTCTGCATGGAGCACTGGGTGTTATGCACAATGAATCATGGAATACTTCATCTAAAACTAATGATGTAATGTATGGGGATTAACCTAAGAATAAAAAAATAAATTAATTAAAAAAAAGAGAGAGAATGGGAGAATGTTGGAAACCTTAGTTTGAAGAGTCACAGTCAGATACTCAAGGAAACCAGAAGGATCCAGGATCCAGTCCAGTTTTATAGGCAAACAATAAACGTTCAAAGATAATTAATCTAACACTCACAAAAGTGTGTTATTGAAATGTAATCTTTCTCTCTAAAGTCACCTTCATTCCTGTCAAAGATAGCCAAAAGAAGATTAATTTGTTTGTAAAACAAGTCCAGTTTTAACAAACTTGGCCCAATCATCTACGTAGGGACAGCAAGAATAGCAATTGACCATATATGGGGTCTTTCTTCTCTTTTCTTTTTCCTTTCCTTCTTTTAAATCTGCTTTGATGGAGCTTTTTACAAGGAATTTTAGATTGATCCTTTAACTGCCTTTTTAAAGCCGAGAACCAAGCCAAATATTGGCCATCAGATTCGCCTGCAAGACTTGTAGATTTGCGGAGGGGTAGACGAACCAGGAGAGACGATGGACTCTGAAAAACAAACTGAGGGTTCTAGAGGGGAGGGGGGTGGGAGGATGGGTTAGCCTGGTGGTGGGTATTGAGGAGGGCGCATTCTGCATGGAGCACTGGGTGTTGTGCACAAACAATGAATCATGGAACACTACATCTAAAACTAATGATGTGATGTACGGGGATTAACATAAGAATAAAAAAAATTACAAAAAAAAAAAAGACTTGTAGATTTGGGTGAATTCCTCTCTTCTTTGAGGGCCTCCAAATTTCCTGAAGTTCCTGCATCTGCCAGGAGGTGGTACTCTTCACTCACCTGGTAAGGTTGAGGGGACCTCTCTAAGCAAGGTTATCAGGCCAACATTTCTAAGGGGCTTTACTGGCTCCATAAAGTCAATCTGACTTTCTTAAAGCAGTCTCACCATATCTGAGTCTACGCATGTGTCTCTTCGAGATGACAGTCCAGGGGCACCTGGCTGGCTCAGTCGGTAGAGAGCACGACTCTTGATCTCAGGGTTGTGAGTTCGAGCCCCACGTTCAGTGTAGAGATTATTTAAAAAATAAAATCTCGGAGGAGCGCCTGGGTGGCTCAGTCGTCAAGCGTCTGTCGGCCTTCGGCTCAGGTCATGATCCCAGGGTCTTGGGATCGAGCCCCACATCGGGCTCTCTGCTTGGCCGGGAGCCTGCTTCTCCCTCTCCCGCTCCCCCTGCTTGTGTTCCCTCTCTCGCTGTGTCTCTCTCTGTCAAATAAATAAATACAATCTTAAGAAAGAAAAAAAGAGTACACTAACAATCCAAGAAAACCTTGTCATTTTAACATAGAAAACCCAAATCTCAATCTTATACCAGTGTGCTTTTCTTCTTCTTTTTTTTATTCTTATGTTAATCCCCTACATTACATCATTAGTTTTAGATGTGGTGTTCCATGATTCATTGTTTGTGCACAACACCCAGTGCTCCATGCAGAATGGGCCCTCCTCAATACCCACCACCAGGCTAACCCATCCTCCCACCCCCCTCCCCTCTAGAACCCTCAGTTTGTTGTTCAGAGTCCATCGTCTCTCATGGTTCGTCCGCCCCTCCGATTTCCCCCGCTTCATTCGTCCCCTCCCGCTACCTTCTTCTATTTTTTTTTTCTTCTTCACATAGATTGCGTTATTTGTTTCAGAGGTACAGATCTGAGATTCAACAGTCTTGCACAATTCACAGCGCTTGCCAGAGCACCTACCCTCCCCAGTGTCTATCACCCAGTCACCCCATCCCTCCCACCCCACCCCCCACTCCAGCAACCCTCAGCTTGTTTCCTGCGATTAAGAATTCCTCCTATCCGTGAGATCATAGGATACATGTCTTTCTCTGTTTGACTTATTTCGCTCAACATAATACCCTCCAGTTCCACCAGTGTGCTTTTCAAACTGCCTTCTCCCAAGCTCAGTCAGTCCTGACCATGCATAAAATTCCTTTTCAAAAATTCTCCTTCACAAACCCCTTCCACAATTTCCTTTTTCATTCAGACTCGGTCTTAAAGTTTTCTTTCTTTAAGTACCCAGTCCCGTTTCAGTACACCATTACTTCCTTTTCCCTCAACAAAAAAAATGTTTTCTCATTTCTTGTACCTCTTTTACACGTCTCCTACCTTCCCACACACGGAGTTGTTTTTGTTATCATTTTGTAGCAGTCCCAATTCCATGTGGCAGAATTTTAATTCTTAGAAATCTCAGTCTCTGGTGAAACGTTAGTAGTAACCAATGGCGCACTCTCTATTACACCAGAATTCTTTAGATTGGCAAATGTATGAATATATTTCATAAATTTTATTTATTTGACAGAGAGAGACACAGCGAGAGAGGGAACACAAGCAGGGGAAGGGACAGAGGGAAAAGAAGGTTCCCCAATGAACAGGGAGCCCAATGCGGGGCTCGATCCCAGGACCCTGGGATCATGACCTGAGCCGAAGGCAGACGCTGAACGACTGAGCCACCCAGGCACCCAAACGTGGTTGGTTGGTTGGTTGGTTTTTATAAAGGTGATGGAGAGGTATATTTTGATAACCACAAATACAGGCTCACTGTTGTGACGGGAGCGTGGCACATTCCACTGCCCACCCAACGGCTTGTAACGCAGGGAGAACCGAATCCAAGTGCTTTTATGACAAAGAAAAGAAAGAAAAGGAAAGAAAGAAAGAAAGAAAGAAAGAAAGAAAGAAAGAAAGAAAGAAAGAAAAAGGGAAAGAAAGAAAGAAAGAAAGAAAGAAAGAAAGAAAGAAAGAAAGAAAGAAAGAAAGAAACGCAAAGTTGATTATTTGTATTATGTGTGACATTGATAGCTCCAAAACCACGTCTTTTTAAAATAAACCAACAACCTTGAATTGGCTTTAACGCCAAAGAAGTTGCACCTGCGTCCACTAAAAAGTCAATCGATTGTTTTCCCCCATCAGACTCCTTGGGGAAAGTCTGAAGCGGGCGGTCTAAGATCAGCGGAGCCCTCGGGCCCCTTCCTGCTAGTTTGGGAGGTGCTCCAATTTAAACCTCATAAGGAGGTGGCCCAAGGGCTTGGGCCCAAGGGCAAGGGCTTTTGCTCCTTGATAAGGGGGTGGGGAGGAGGAGGAGGAGGAGGAGGAGAAAGGGGAGCCCATGGCACCCGGGGGGGGGGGGGGGCGGGGGGGGCGGGGGTAGGGAAGGGCGGCTGAGACGGCGGCAGGGGAGTAGAGCACTCCAGGCACACACACCAGTGGTGCAGAAACGGGGCAGGGGAGGCGGCAAGGGAGCCATTGGTAAGGCCCAGGGCACATATACATTTACAGTTTTGGACGAACCTTTTCTTTTTTTTCGCCTCCGCCTCCGCCTCCGCCTCCGCCTCCGCCTCCGCCTCCGCCTCCGCCTCCGCCTCCGCCTCCGCCTCCGCCTCCGCCTCCGCCTCCGCCTCCGCCCCTTTCTTCATCTCCTTCTGCTTAATAGGCTTTGTCTGTGGTGGCTTTTCAGCCCTCCGGAAGCCAGTGGGTTGGGCATCGGTTCTGGTGCCTGTACTTGGGGAGGAGGAGGAGTGGATTTCAGATTTCTAGCATCGGCCTGTCTTCCTCCTCTTCTTCATTATTTTGACTGTTGGGAAGTGGGGGTAAGGTCAGGTGTGTTAAATTTTTGTCTATCTCTGGGCCGTCCCTTGGGTCCCTTACCTTGAGGCATCTTTATTGTGGAGTGACATAAGAGTCTGAATGTAGGGAATTTCATCCCAGATCATGTGAGCTTGAAAAACTGGGTTTATTCTTATCTGAGTTTTACCATGCCCGATTTTTACGAGCACCTGCCTCTAAACTCTTTAAGTAGGGGCACCTGTGTGGCTCAGGCAGTTAAGTGTCTGCCTTGCGTTCACATCATGATCCTGGGGTCCTGGGATGGAGCCCCACATCCGGCTCCCTGCTCCGCGGGGAGTCTGCTTCTCCCTCTCCCAATGCCCCCCCACCCCCAGCTCGTGTGCTCTCTCACTCGCTTTCTTTCAAAGACATAAATAGAATCTTTAATAAAAATAAAACTCGGGGCACCTGGATGGCTCAGTGGTTAAGCGTCTGCCTTTAGCTCAGGTCATGATCCGAGGGTCCTGGGATCAAGCCCCTGCATCGGGCTCCCTGCTCGGCGGGAAGCCTGCTTCTCCCTCTCCCACTCCGCCTGCTTGTGTTCCCTCTCTCGCTGTGTCTCTCTCTGTCAAATAAATAAATAAAATCTTTAAAGAATAAAATAAATAAAATAAAATAAAATAAAATAAAATAAAAATAGAACTCATTAAATAGAGCTCCTTTACAAATGGATGTTAGCAATAGCACCCGGAGGTGGAGGAAATACCTCACATGTATAACACATACGGACACATAGACACAAACAAGATGCAAACAAATTTTAGCCTTTGTTTCAGTCTTATTTGTGGAGAGGACATGAATGGAGAGGACACGAAAGACCCAATGTTCAAATCTCCCTCTTTTAGTAAAACAAATGCAACTGCGAAGCAGCATTACCGTGTACAGATCCCACCCGTCAGTTGTTTTCCATTCCCAATGGAAACAGGGTCGGTTTTATGCAAAGATAGCAAAAGCTGCAGCAACCAACCAACCAACCAACCAACCAACCAACCAACCAACCAACCAAATGAAGACCAGAGCATCTCCCTGAGTGTTGGTTCCTCCCCAAAAGTCGGGGCTTCACTGAGGGAACCAAAGAGCTTCCTAGTTTCTGATCACCCAGTCTCCTAGCAGGCTTTCTCTAATTGTGTACACAATTCAGACATGTCAAAAGAACCCCGCTTGGGCCATCTGAGACTCATGTTATCGTGAAATGTTTCCCATGCAAGTAAGCACTTGCAAGTATAGGCTCCCTATGCATTGTACATGTAGCGTGCAGGTGTTTCTTGTGAGGGTGGGCCGTTGTTTCCTCAACATTTGGTGCAGGGTTCTACAGAGTTTTGGTTTGTTTCGTTGGTTTGGTTTTCTGCACACGTGTGTGTGGGGGGGGGGTGTGGTGTGGTGTGTTGTGTGGTGTGTATCTGTGTGCACGGTATCTATCGCTGCTGCGCAGCTAGCTGATCCTCAGGGTGCATCATCCTAACACCGCAATGGCTCGAAACAGCATTTCTTTATCGATAACTTCCTGGTGCTTGCCCTGGGTGGCCCCTTGGGTTCTGCGGGTTTACGCCGGGCTCACTCAAGCAGTGGCTTTCGGCCAGAGGGTCAACTTTCACACGTCTGGCAGTCGGTGCCGCCGAGCACCGGGCTGCCTCTGTTGTCAATGCCTCTCATGCTCCAGTCAGCTAGACTGGCTTTCTTACGTGGAGGTCTCAGGACGGCATGCCAAGAAGGTCGAGAACGCCGGCAGACCACCTCTTCAGGTGTAGGCTGTGAAACCAGCCAAGTGTCACTTCTGCTCTATTCTTTGGGTCAAGACAAGTCCCAAGACCCGGTCCAAAATCAAGGGACAGAGCAATCAAGCCTACCTCTGGATAGCAGGAGCATCGAAGTCATAGGACGTGAGGGTGCACACGTGCCGGGACGTGAGGGACACACGGTTGTCGGTCTGCCACAAGGGATTCCTAAACCCTATGCCGCGATGCACATTTTTGCAAAAGTAAGCTTTACGTTTTAGCATCTAAAACATGATTTCCTTTGAATCAACCCCTAGAATTGGATTCACCAGGAAGAAGGGGAAGATGCGTTTTCCAGCCTCTTGATACAGAAGCTCTTGATTTCCAGAGGGCACTTGGAGGACCCTTCACCAGTCTCTGCTTTGTAAGGCGGGGGGAATTTTTTTTTTTTAAGATTTTATTTATTTATTTATTTGTTTGTTTGTTTGTTTGTTTATTTATTTGAGACAGAGAGAGAGAGAGAGAGAGAGAGAGAGAGAGAATGAATGAGAGAGAGCACATGAGAGGGGGGAGGGTCAGAGGGAGAAGCAGACTCCCTGCTGAGCAGGGAGCCCGATGCGGGACTCGATCCAGGGACTCCAGGATCATGACCGGAGCCGAAGGCAGCCGCTTAACCAACTGAGCCACCCAGGCGCCCAAGGCGGGGGAAATTTAATTGGCCAACCCCCCATGAAAAAGCGACCGATCACGTTCCGACGTCCGAATTAAAGGCAGGCTTCCTTTTTAAAGGCATCCATAGAGCAGCCAGCTCCGTGGCAAGGAGCCGGACTTCTGTGTGTCTGATGAGGAATCCCATTCTCGGCATAAAGGCAATCTCGGGGAGCAGTCGGAGGCAGACCAGATCTCAGATCCACCAAACCCAAGAAATCCCTTGTGATCTGAATGGCTGAATTTGTTGAGGTTTCCCTCCCGATGGCTAAGAAGATGCCTTCCTATCACAGATGACAAAACACAAACCAACAAAACCCCGATAGCTGGGCAGGGTCTTCAAGAAAGGGCCCCTTTTTCATGGAAGCCAACTCTTCCATCTCGCGCCACCCGCCATCATGGAGAGGAAGTCTCTCGGGATGAACGAATGCCTTTGCAATCTACGTTAACCGACTCTCTTTTCCGATAGGCTGACACTCTTTCCCCTCGTGGACACGTCCCGAGATCGGCAGGCTTCGGTGCATCGGTCTTCTGTGCACCAAAAGCCGTGCGAAGGCCCCTGTCGTCGAAATGTATTCGGCAGGGACGCTAGTGAAGAATTTTAAACCAGTCTAGCCCGGTTCAGTCCTTCAGTCCTTTTTTTTCTCCTTTCTTACATGACCGCTGTGTCCTAAAAGGATACAACTGAGGAAACTCCAGATGGAACAGAGGCAAAGGGAAGGGGGGCAGAGCTTCCGTGTTCCGTGACCCCTCTCCAGGAACGCCTCTGTCCCCACCATTTCAGGCGTTCAAGCAACCTGGAAGCTCCCCGAATTAGGTTAGTTCTTCTTCGAAGGGGCGGGGGTCGGGGTGGGGAAGGTTGGGGAGCGCCGAGGTTTGGAAACATTGCAGGGCAATCAAGGCTATTGCCAAATCTCGAGTCCGTGCAGAGGTACGTAAGGTACACGTAAGGCCGGGATGGGGGGCGTGGCGTGGCGTGGCGTGGCGGGGCGGGGCTTGGCGGGGCGGGGGTGGGTGGGTGCGCGCGCCTGGCGGGGAGGGTTGCGGTGTGTGTCCATGTGCGTTCAGCAGGTGTAGGGGAGGAAGAATGTTCCCTCTAACTTCCCTTTCTACTCCCTGTTGGGGGAGAACAGTGAAGAGAGCCCGGGTGAGGGCGAGGGCGACGGTGACGGCGAGGGCGACGGTGACGGCGGGTGGGGGCGAGGCGCGGACAGGAAGGGGGGAGGGGTAGTAGAGGTGTTTATTTCTTTTGGCGGTGATGGAAATGTTCTGGAAATTGCAGTGAAGGTTGTGCAGCTTTGTGAGCCACCTTAAAAAAAAAGAAAAAAAGGCCACCCAATGGCCCACTTTTAAGAGTATGCGAAATATGGCATGCGAATTGTATCTCCACTTCGAAAATCTGTGACGAAACAATGTGATGGACATAGGGAAGGAGGGAGGGACGGACGGGACCCTCACCCTCACCCTCACCCTCACCCTCACCCTCACCCTCACCCTCACCCTCACCCTGGCTCTCTTCACCGTTCGATCCATGGATCGATCGATCCATCGATCCATCGATCCATCGATCCATCCATCCATCTATACATGCCATGCATGCAGTCTGTCGGTTCATGTAGACATCAAAGGGGGGGGAGGGGAAGGGGGCCACGAGGGGAGGGGAAGGGAGGAGGGGAAGGGAGGAGGGGAAGGGGGCCAAGGGGGGAGGGGAAGGGAGAAGGGGGAAGGGGGAAGGGGGAAGGGGGAAGGGGGAGGGGAAGGGGGCCAAGGGGGGAGGGGAAGGGAGAAGGGGGAAGGGGGAGGGGAAGGGGGCCAAGGGGGGAGGGGAAGGGAGGAGGGGAAGGGGGGAGGGGAAGGGAGGAGGGGAAGGGGGGAGGGGAAGGGAGGAGGGGAAGGGAGGAGGGGAAGGGGGAAGGGGGGAGGGGAAGGGGGAAGGGGGAAGGGGGAAGGGGGCCAAGGGGGGAGGGGAAGGGGGGAGGGGGGGAAGGGGAAGGGGGAGGGGGGAGGGGGAGGGGGAGGGGGAGGGGGGGAGGGGGAGGAGGGCGTGCATGATACTGGGCATGGTTTTTATTCTGAGTGCTTTTATTTGTTCCCCAAACTAATCACCTCTGTGGAGATAAAAGATCACCCACATGAGAGCGGGAATCATTTCTTGAGGGCAAGAGAGTCTGCGGTCGGCCACCACCGCCTGGGTCTGGCAGAGACGCCAAGCAAACGCAGGCCAGGCGGAGGAGTGGAAAAGCTTTCTGGTGGCAAAAGGGGAAGGTCCGATGAGAGGTTGTTGGGGGTGGGGGAGCAGGATGGGAGCTGACTAGAAGAGGAGTGTCCTAGGTCATTTCAGGGAAAGAGAAACTTGATTTCCGTCCGTGGGTCCATCGATCTCATTCTCTCATTCTCTGGATCTAGCTCTGTGCTCCAGACGAACACATTCGAGGGCAAGACCAGGCGCGGCCAAGAGGACTAGACGGGTGGACGACTAGGCACGGTCAAGGTGGAAAGTGGGGGGCGACTGGGTGGCTCAGTCATTAAGCGTCTGCCTTCGGCTCAGGTCATGATCCCAGGGTGCCAGGGTGCCAGGGTGCCAGGGTCCCGATAATCGAGCCCCGCATCGGGCTCCCTGCTCGGCGGGAAGCCCGCTTCTCCCTCTCCCACTCCCTCTGCTTGCGTTCCCTCTCTCGCTGTGTCTCTGTCCAGTAAAAT